CGAAAAGAAGAGAAATCAATTATTATGAAATGTCTCTAAATCTAAAGTTGTTGTTTTTTTCCTTTACATTTATTATTTTTCATTACTTTTTCATTTACATTTATTGCATATATTATTTTAAGGGAGTATTTAACTTATAATATATGTAAGCCCTGAAAAAATATTAACATAATTAAAGCTTAACTTTAATTTATAAAAGCATCTCCTATCCCTATCTCATGCCCTTAAGGGTGAAAATATATTTTTAAATTAATGTCGTAATATTTATCATCCAATTTATGTTTTTTCTTTTTCTTTAAAGTATGTTAAATTAGATTAAGATATTATTCTGGGATAAGCAGATTTGTATCAGTAGTAATAAAATTGAAAGTAATAATTAAAACAGTAATTAAAAAATCCTCTTCCTTTCCTCCCCTAATGAAAAAAAAAATACCGCACGTTTCACATTGACTCATATGTGAATGGAATAAACCTTTTTATTTGGCCTTTACTTAAAATCAGACTTTTAAAAAAATTATAATCGATACGGTTTTTTTAAAAAAAATCTTTTATTTACTTTTTCACAAAATATATTTTAAGAAATTAATTTAATGTTTGGAACATGAGATTTTGTTGAATCAAAATACGTTACAACTTATCCCACAACTAACACTAAATAATTATACCAATGTAAATGCGCAATATAGTCTATTTTTTTGTGATTTGTGAAAAATAAGGGCACAAATTGTCAATAGATAAATTTTAATACTTATGCTGTTTTCAAAGAATGAATAATCAGGATCATTAATAAATAATTCAATAGGCAATAAATAAAAATTGTACTGATACTATTGAATTTTGCAAATCCTTATCAATAATACTCATTAGTCATTAAATTTTTTATTTATATCATATTAAAAATTAATATTAACATCGAAAAATTATAATTAACTAATTAATTCCATTCTTTAAATCTATAATCATTTTATAAATGTTGTATTCTGGTTTATTGTTACAAAAGAGATCAGATGAATTTGTCACTATCCATCATATTCATAATTATCCTCAATACATGGAATTCTGACAAATTATATTTTCGTGTTAATTCATTTATTTGAACTTGTTTTATTTGTTTAAATCAATTTTTTGGCAATTCTTAATATATTTAGGAAATTTTCACAAACAACGCATCTAAAATGACAAACACGTTTTCTTTTCTTGGGTGAGGGGGGGGGGTAGTTAAAGTGGTTCTTTTGCGTGGTTTAAGAAAGCACATATTATTTTGGATATCCGGATCGAGGGTAAATCCTTAATAAATTTCAAAAATTTTTAAGATTAACATCAAAATTATATTTATTAAATAGAGACTTAGAAAAGTATCATTGTAACAATTTTTCACAGTAAATCCATCTTCTATGGAACACATAGAGTAATCATCGTCATCGCACACGTATTTGTCCAAAGCATGTGGCGATCAGTTGCTGTGTTTTAAAAACGTAAATAAATGCATTTTTTGAGCCGCGAGCTAAAACAACGCCTTTTTTCGACAATTCTTTAAATTAAAGTGGCTAACAGATATGTAATTTAGTTTACCCAAAAAAATGCTTAGTTTGAAAATCAAATTGTTTTAAGAATTTTTAACCTTGTTCTAGCATCATGGGAAGTTTTTATCCAAGCTGCTACTATTTCAGATGTTTCAATTTTTATTTCTTTATTTATATGGCCATGTTTACAGTTTTCAACTAGACCTCTAAGCATTTGTCATCTATTGTTTTTCATTAAAGAAAAAAATCCCATCTACGAAAATACACATCAAAAGTTCATTCTATTGGCAATAACTTATTATTTTTATTTTGTTTAACAACCACCGCAAACTTTACGACTTTACTTAAAGTTTTGCAAAATAACTCACTGGATTTGTTCTATTATACTAGTTCTATTTTATTTGATATTCGGATAATTGGTAGAATGAGAAGAATTTTTTTTATCTGCAAATCTTATGAATAAAAACACAACATGTTTTATTAAGATTTATCAATAGGATGACTCGAATTTTTTGTAACTGATAAAAGCACTCTTTTTTCAAAAAATCCACATATTTTAGAGCATTTTTTTCATTTCATTTCCATGTAATGTTTAAACTATCTTAAGACTTTCATTTACGTTTATAAAATAATGTTATGTTTATCAAATACACTCTCTGTTTATCAGGGTTTAACTAGTCCGTTGATTGTGATTTTTCACTTATTTTGTCCTAAATTAATAAAAATATTGAAGAAAGAATGAAAAATATGTTTAATAAAAATTCTGCGTCAAAGGATTAAACTCTCCAGACTAAACTATTGATGTCTCATTTTTGGCTACACTCCATATTTTGTGGATCTGAACTCAAAATCCAATAACGTCTAAAAATGTTTAAATAAATACAAGAAAATGTATTTATCTCAAACGATAGTTAATTTTAATTTAATTATCATATTTTTGGTGAACTTAATAAAAACTATGATCGTATTTAGATTTCAACATGTTCTTGTAAAAACGTTTGACCTAGATACTATCATTCCGATCATTCTATAATTCAATTCGTAATTTTCCAAAGCATTTTTGAAAATAGAATGGCTCATTTCATAAATGACTGAATATTATTACATAATCTAAACATTCAATGAACTCATTCATTTCCTTTCTTCGTATTCTATTAATTTATGTGGGTTTTAATTCATTTATTTTTGTATTGTTCTCGATGTATTTATTA